CGTCCGGTCTCTCCGGCGGGGCCTCCGGGCAGGGGCAGCGACGACGAAGACTCCTCCGCTCCCGCTCCCTCGGGCGCCGCTTTTCCCTCTGAGGGAACAAAAGCCCAGCGCCCGCAGGCCCCGCCCCCGCAAGGCCACGCCCCTTCCCCAGCGGCCGCGGGGGTCGCGCGCCCCCTCTTGATTGGCCACCCTTCACGCCGCTCCTCCTCCCGCCGGCCAGAAAGCCCCGCCCTCTCCTCGCGAGGACAAGGAGGGAGTGGCCGGGCTCGTCTTGGGCTGAGAAAGCAGGGAAGGCGGTGACGTCACACACACACCATCGGGAGGCGGGGCTTCCCGGCCCCTCTCGCTCCCCGTCTTGGGCTGAGAAAGCAGGGAAGGCGGTGACGTCACACACACCATCGGGAGGCGGGGCTTCGCGGCCCCTCTCGCTCCCAGCGTCCCCTCTGTTCCAAGATGGCGGCGGCGGCGGCGGCAACAGCTCGCTTCCGGTAGGGCCGGCGGAGGAGAGCGTGCGCTCGGCCGGAGAGAGGGAAGCCCTTCAGAGGGGAGCCAAGGTGAGGGGCCGGGGCGAGGCCGAGGCCGGGAGGGTCCCCTTCGCCGGAGAAGGGGTCCAGGGAGGGAGGGAGGGAAACGCTGGGGAGCTGCGAGGTGTCGTCATCATAACGCGGGAGGGGCTCTGACGTCATGCATCTCTGACGTCACCGCAGGACGATGGGAGGGCCCCCTCTTTGGTCCAAAAGTGGGGAAAACGGCGGTTCGGCTTCTCAAGGGGGTGGACTCCAGTTCCCATCAGCCCCGCCACCTGGGCCCGTGGACAGGGATGGTGGGAGTTGTAGTCCGCCGGTGGTCTGCCTTCCGCCCTTGTTTGGGACCACCATCCTCCCCGGAAGCCCTCGCGCGGCAGCTCAGGCATAAAAATGCTTTTTTAAAAAAGGTGGAAGGAAAGTGCTTGTAAAAAGGGATCAGGCACCTGTGCTGGCTGGGTGTGTGTGTGTGTGTGATGGGACGTGTAGTCAAACAAACCTGAAAGGGGCCTCCTCCCTCCCGGATTCTCCCTTTGCCCTTTTCCTCTTGTATGAATATATTTTCATCCTATTCTTTGCTTTGGGTTCTGCCTTAATGGTGGCATATTTTAATTCCTCTTTTTGCTCCTCTTGTTTTTTTTATCTGCTGCCACCACCAACACCATACTGTGATAATTTTACACCCGGTTCTGTTGTACGTTGTGCCGCATTATATTTGATGTAGAAAGCTACAGATTTCTTGACAGCTGCTAAAATTCCTGTACCTGAAATACATCCATTGTTTCACCTGCCCAGTTTGTGAACTGCAGCCAGAAGCTCTTGCAGGCGCAAAACAGGAGGCCCGTTTTGCTTGTGCAAGTGACAAAATCATTTCGTTATATAAAACACAGTCTCCTTAGCAATTTTTTTTGGAGGCTGGGTGCAGAGTTTCTTGTAGACACAGTGATTACGTGACCTTTTCCGCTCCTCTCTGTTCCAGAATCTGCTACTAGCGCAGCGTCCTTTCTAAAGTATAACAGATTTGAGAATCTATTTGGTTTGTGGTTCAAAGAATTAAGCCAACGCTATGGGAGACCCGTGGCAGCCTCCCCACGGTTGCAGAGGATCCACCGTATGTTCCACGTAAATTCATCTCTCTGTTCCTGAGGTTGAGATCTGAGTGAATAAGATATTTCCTTTCTTCCCTCGACAGCTGCTGGTGAGAGACGCTGCTCCTGAGGCCTGACCAGAACCATGGCCACCGTGGCAGCCAAACGGGAAGGCCCGCAGTTCATCAGCGAAGCCGCCGTCCGAGGGAACGCCGCCATTTTGGATTACTGCCGGACGTCGGTCTCGGCTCTCTCGGGGGCCACGGCCGGGATCCTGGGCTTGACCGGCCTCCACGGGTTCATCTTCTACTTCCTGGCCTCCATCCTGCTGTCGGTGCTGCTGGTGTTCAAAGCCGGCCGGCGGTGGAGCAAGTACTTTAAGTCCCGCCGGCCTCTCTTTACCGGAGGCTTGATCGGGGGCTTGTTCACCTACATCCTCTTCTGGACTTTCCTTTATGGCATGGTCCACGTTTACTAGGAAGGGGACGATGCGGCGGCGGCAGCCGCTCCAGACGGGACAAGAGGACTCTTGCCAAAACCATCACCTCCTCTTTGAGGCCAGATCCTTCCGAGACGTCTCCCTGCTGCTGGTCCTGTCCACAATTTACGTCACAAAAGTAGCCTGTAGCATCCTGATCTTCAAACACCATGTGAATCCCCGAGCCTTGAAATGATGCCTGCTGAGTAAACAGTCCATCTTCCAGAGGACGTTTTCCTTTCTTTTTTGTCCACCCGCTCCTCTGCTCTGCCCTTTTCCCTAAGACTGCCAAGGTGGTCTTACAACATTCTTAGCCTGCTTTTCAACCTGCAATATTGCACCCTAGCAGAAGTACTCGCTTGGCTCAAGGCTTTTAAATCCCTTTCTCCTTTATCCTATGGTTCACCTCCTTTCTAACCAGTCTTTATTTCCTATTTTTCCAATGCTGGTTTAGCTTTTCCTTCCTACTCGCACTCATCCTGCACTTTCCGAGTAGTAGGACCTCTCTGTGGGTCCACACACTCCACCCCTCCTTTTCTCTTTTTAATTGTTTGAAGGATGACAGGCCCCTGCAGACGGGAACTCTTGCTGGAGCAGCCTAGAGGCCCTCTTGAGAAATGACCCTTCCAGACCTGCTTGCAAGCAAGGGAAGTCTCCCACCCAACGCCTGAAACAGCCCTGAAGGCTATAGAAAAGTTTCATTTAATAAAACAGAGCCATCCATTTTAAACAAAATAACCCACAGAGGTACATCCTTAGTGTCCGGTCCAGCTTTCAGAGGTCTGTAGTAGAAAAAAAGCTAACACCCAAATGCACTTTATATTTTATTATTATTAAAGACGAGGATGATTTAGCAAACATCAGTAGATGCTGGTAGAGGTCTACATACATTCTCTCCTGGAAGGAGTGGTGAAAGGACCCTCCCATTTCTTGGTTCCCCTCCACTGATGTTTGGAAGTCATCGCAGGCCTCAGAGGGTGTCTGCCGTCCCTCCTCTCTGGGAAATGCGTTTTTCTTCATAGCGTTCTTGCTGTCAGGGTATGTCAAGGGAGGCGAAGGCCACCCTTGGTGGTTGGCGAGTTGCTCTGACTGCCTCTGCTGAGCCCGCGCTGAGGCTCCCCGGGGTCCTTGTCCTGGTCATCCCTCTGCGACGAGAACCACAGGCGGCACAAGTCCTTCGGCGATGAGCCCCTCGTCGCTCTCCAGGTTCCCGGACGTTTGCTGCCTCGCCCCATGCAGAGGGCTTGGTGTTCCGTGCCAGGTTTCACGTCCCCCCCCCCCGGTGTTACATTTCCATATTGTGTTGGCCTTGTGTGTGGTACCAGCCACTTTGCGACCACACCTTCCACAACCGGGTTGTGGTAGAGCTGCCATTTCCATTCCCCTCCCCACCCCAGGATTTGCTGCTCTTTGTATTGAGGGGAAACGATGCTTCTAATGTTACTCGGTCACAATATATGTCTTGTATATACAGCCTAACTCTTTTAAGTTGTGGTGTGTGTGTTTTTTCCCCCTTCCCGGTGTGGGGTGTTAAGCTAGAATTGATACTTCCGACATATACACGCACCAAAAACACGCATGTGAAATCACACGCATGGAGAAATCATTTGAATAAACTGATAACACCTTCATGGAATCGCAACTGGGGCAAGAAATCTGGAACTGAAGTCCCTCCAAGAGGCTCCCAAATTGAGGAGGAGGGCGGCTTCTCCCTAAGAGCCCGAGGTGTGGCCTCCTTCCTCATAACAACACCCGTGCGAGGTAGGCCCAGACAGAGACAAAGAGGGTATGGGTGGCCCGAGACCACCCAAGGAGCTTCATAACTCAAGGGGGGGGGGAGAAGGATCATGGTTCTCAGATCAGGCTGTTGCAAAAGGAGACAAGTCAGGAAGACGAGGAAAGCGTGTGAAGTATTAGGAACCTCAGTTGTTGGCTGGAGAGCTCAGTGGCTTCAGTCTCTGGCTGTGGAGCCAGGGGTAGGGGATTCAGTGGGGTAGAAGGCCTGCGGGTTGCCCTTCATGCTGGCTAAGCAGACTTTCAGTGGCTTCAGTCTCTGGCTGTGGAGCCTGGGTAGGGGGTTCAGTGGAGTAGAAGGCCTGCTGTGGACCAGCGTGCCCGAGTACCCAGGCGGGTTGCCCTTCACGCTGGCTAAGCAGACTCGCGCACCTTTCGTTAAAGTGACAGGATCCGCCCAGGTCTTTCCCCTGCGTTGCCTTCAATAAAAGGACATCCGCATCGGAAGGTGCGGGAGGCAGTAACCAGGATAATCTGAGTCCACCTTTTGAATATAGACAAGAGGGAGTGGTAGCTTTAAAATGAAATTGACTATGAAATTAAAAGCTACAGTTTAAAGGTGGACTTAAAAAAACAACAGCAGTGGTGTTTTTAAATACTACTGGCAGGCTTGGCGTTCCACATTTAAAAAAAAAACAGTCTACATGGGTGTAATCTCTCTTGGGAGCCGGTCTTTTGTAAAGGCTAACAGCTCTTAATGTCCCAGTTGGGGTTGCTACCACATACTTGACACTACTTTGGCATCTAGGAGCAAATACGTGGGGTAGCCCTGCAGAAAGATGCTTTCAACCCTCCTAAAGGCATCTTTATGATATGCTGTACATTTCATTCCAATAAGCAAACAAAGATTAACACCGGTAAGTGTGAAATAAATTAACATTCCTTTTTCAAATGGCTTATTCTACCTTCTGCCGGCTTGTTGTAAGTTCCTTCCGGCCATTGCAATGGCAGACAAATTGTAGGTCACAACAGGTCAAACTGGACATGACAGACAACTTCTTGGAAGAGGGAATTCCTCCACTGCTGAAAACCTCTGATTGTCGCAGCAAAAGATTTAAGCGCACAGCACTGTTTGCATATTAGCTAGCTTTGATGTGGGGGTGCGGATCTTCGGGATGGAAATACAGGCTTCGTTTACGAGTCAGATTTCTCAGTCATGAAGGTCTGTTTCTGAAATAACTAGAGTTTGACCCTAAAAGAAATCAGTTCCTACTGCGTTTTCTTCTTCCATCATTCTAACAATATAGACTTAACATGATTTGTGTCTTCGCACCAAAAAAAAAAAGTCTAGAGATACTGAGTCTAAATATCAGCCTCCAGAAGGGAAAACCAATGTTCCCAGGTATCTGGGAGTCGGAAGTTTCTGGATTTGTGAAATGAAAGGCCGAGGGAAAGGATATACTTCGTTACTTGGAAGCGTGACCCTAGAAAATGAGAGTTAAAGGAAAAGAGCACACCGTTCTCTCTGGAGTTGGCATACAGCAGGGTCCCGATTGTCTGGTATCAAGATCCGTTCAACCCTTTAACTAGTCTTTTGCCCCATAGGTTCAGAAGACACGAAAATCCACACCAGGCTTCTTCCCAGACTGAAAAAGCTTGACTTGGCCCTTCCAGAGATTCAGATGTAATCAGTCCAGTGGAAGACCTCAACAAGTCGATGGAACTTCCTGCCACATGATATAGTGACGGCTACCTGCCTGGACAGCTCTCCAAGGAGATGGGGATACATTTGTGAAGGCTGGGTCTGACGGGACCAATTTGGGTCCAGCCACTCCCGGGTTGGAAGCAGAATCAGGATCCAGATGTCAAGCAGCTGGCGGAGGACGCCTTATTCACTAAATGTCATCCTCCAGGAATATTCTATTTTAGGTCACATTTGGGGTAACAAATGTCTTACCGGTTGTGTCTGTCGAGGTGGAGGGAAACCACCCAAACTCTGGAACTTAGGAAGTAACCCATTGACCTAAGTGTAAGTTTGGTGGGCCAAGATGGACGGATCTGGCCAGATTCGAGAGGGTGGCCAGGATGGTGAGCAGAGGGATTTCCCTCCGCAGCTCCGTCGCTCCAATATGCACAGAAACACAATATTTGGGTTCTCTTGAAAAATGCAACACCCCAGGTCTTTGGCTCAGGCTGTGGCAGAAAAAATAAGGCGTTGTTGAAGAGCGAAAAAAGGGGGGGGCTTGAATCATCCACTCTTGACGAGGTATACGAAGGCCCTGGGTTCCTCTGTTGCTGTGTTTCCCCACCATCATCCTTTATGCTTTGTGGGGTTTGGTTGTTTATCGTTAGGTCTCCACCGCCTCCAATTGTCTCATCTGGTCCAGCCTGGATAGAGAATCGCAGCTCTGGTTCCCATTGATGGTTGTTTCCGGTAACGATTTCCTGATGCTGGATCTGTTGAAGAAGCAAGCAAGCAAGCAAGAGGAGGTTCAGCTTTGTACAGATTTCTCTTGAAAAACCACCTCGAGACCTACAACCTCCATCGGCCATAGATGGCACGACCAACCGTCAGAGGTGATGGGTAAGGCAAGCATCTCTAGGAACCCAAACGGAGGGCAACGACGATTAAAATTAAAAGGGGCGAAGGAGTAAAACATGACTTTAAGAATGTACACCTATCTTGACAGAAGGAACTACAGATGGACCCTCGTACCCAGGGGGGGATTGCTTCCAAGCCGCCACCACCACCCCGCCATGGATGCTGAAAAATGCAGAACAGTATTTTAACAATGAACGCTATACATGGCATAATCTACTGGCCAGTTCTGGTCACTTCATCTTTAGAAACAGATATAATTTTTTTTGGGGGGGGGGATTTTGCTTTTAATATTTTTAATATTTTCAGACTGTGCCTAAGTCAATCAGTGGATACTGGTCCCGTGGATAAGGAGGTCCGACTATACATTTCTTAAGATGCTTTGTTCAAATAAGGCTTTACTTTCCTCTTTTTTAAAAAAGTCATAAAAAGGTCCTTTTACAGTTGTTTACGTTCATTCATTCCTTCTAAATCAGCTGTGACTGATGCCAGAGAACGCCTCCCAATAGAAAGAGTGTATTTTTGTTTTTGCTGGGGGTTGTCTCTGAAGTTACTCTCCCCAGTGGCAAACAACGGCCACCAAAAGATGGGCCAGAATCTGTTCCTAACCCTAATCCTCCAAATTTCTGGGAATTCCTCCTCCTCCCCCCCTCCCCGGCAAACACTGAGCAGAAGGGAGGGCGCTAACCAAGGACATCATCCTAACACAGTTGGTGTCCAAAAGCCACGCACCTCACTTCTTCATATTTTTTCCCTCGATAGAAGTTGCTTTTCCGGAGAAGGTAGAGCAGGACCAGGTCACAGAAAAAAGCTCCCTGTTTGAAAAAAAAAAAAAGAACAGGCCTTTCTCACAACACAACGGCCCACAAAGAAAGCAATAAGTTTACAAGACGCCTCGGATCTTTCCTTGTCGTTGCCCACGGTTTAAAGTTTGGTGTCAGATAATACGGTACATCATCTGAGTAAATCCTCCACCCCCCCAGGCATCACCAGCTGGTGAAGCTCTGGGAGAGGCTGAAAAGAAACGGGGACAATAAGGCTCACGTACTGCACCCATCAACGCGAGGCCCGAGCCGATGTTGATGATCGTCGGAATGATGTTGAATTTCCCCGCCTGGAAAAGGAAAACATGACGTTAAAAGCACGCGTCTGCAAAAGCCATCCGTTTGGGTTTCGATCCCAGTAGCCGCTCTGGCCTCCGATTCAGAGGGGGGAATCTTCGCTTCGGGTTTTAGTCTGCACTTTACAGGTGTTTTTATGTCAGGGGATGGGCCCTGTTCTGGGGAGAGGTTTCAGCATCAAGTGGCCCATCTCTGAGATACACAGGAATCCTCCATCTCTCGTTGTGGCCTTCAGAATTCATGTTTTCTGTTTCACGCTCCAGATCTCAGGCGCTGGACCGCACATTTCAAGAAAGAGGATGCTAGAAATTAGGAAACACTTGGGAGTCCTAGTTTGGGGCTCATTTCCACAGCTGTGTGCCATTTACACATGCTCAGAAGCACCTTTGACTTCCTCATTGTCTTAACAATGCTGGAATAATCCATTTGCTTTGAAATTCATTGTGGAGTTTCTATACTGCCTCTCCATCATGCCATTTTTTAATGGCTGCGGAAAAGTCCGTACTTTGTGACATCACACCGGCTGCCCTCTGGGTCACAGAGTTTGGCCCTGATATCTCAGAGATTAAATACGAAAGCTGCTGGGTGAATCTACACAAACAAGCCAATTGCATTTCTAAAAGGAGCAGGTATTTTATAAAGCTAATGACCCTCAATGATCCACTCAAGACCAAGTCATTTTGCATTGCACAAAGGAGACTTCACAGCATCTCCTGACAAATCCTGGCAACATGCAGGCATAGGTTTCTCCCAGAGCTGTTACCAGGGGTCTTCTATGGACTTCCCAAAGAGAAAAGAAGCAAGCAAACCCAATTTTTCCAAGCTCACACAAGCCTCACCTTCCCATTGACCATGACATCAAAGCGGATTCCGTAGGCTTTGATCAGCGTGCGGAAGTCAACATCGGATGAATCCCGGTAATACTTGGCAAATCTGAAAACCAGCAAAGGTTATAATTGTGTGTGCGCGTGTGTCAAAGCACCTGTGCAGAGAAACCCATTTCTAGAATGGGTGCTCCCTTAAGTGGCAAAAAGATATAATAAGACATCTTGGGTCCTTTTAAGCAGATTATCAGCCACTCTGAAGGTCAAAGCACCTGTGCAGAGAAACCCATTTCTAGAAGGGGTGCTCCCTTAAGTGACAAAAAAGATATAATAAGACACCTTGGGTCCTTTTAAGGAAAAGGCGGGGTAAATATATTTTAAATAAAGAAATAACTGTGAAAGGACTTTAGAAGCTGCATTTAGAAGAATCAGAAGATCAGGGTTAGCTTCTAAATGTAAGCAACAGCTTCTTTTAGGTATTTGAATCTGGAATCAAAGGAGACCATGTTGCTAGTGTGTTTTCGGTCCTCTGTTCTTAGGAGGAAATGCAGGCTATAATCAAAACAAGAGAAATTCAAACTTGACGCTGGATGAATATTCCTTACTTGTACCCATAATAATTTCATATATTCTATTTCCCTCCCAGAGCTTAAAGCTGTAGCTGTCCTCTTTCCCACTTTTCCTGACAACAGCCCTGTAAGGTAGGTCTATCGGAGAGGAGTTGGCCCAAGACTCGCTAAGGACGAGAAACGGGGTTTCCCACCCTCAAATCACTCCACCTGTGGATATAATCAAAATACCGGTAAATGGATCTCAAGGAGAAGTCTGACCAAAGGAGTTGTAAAAACCAGTTTTGTTCATTGATGCATGTTCTATCCAATTAATGTGACTGCTTCACTTCTTTGTGCACTTCAGGATCAGATCAAGGACCGCTTCACTTCTTTGTCCACTTCAGGATCAGATGGCAAAGCTGAAAAACCCCATGGCCCGGTTCCCTGGGCGCCCGCACCCTCCCACCGAGGAGGACTGGCTCGTGAGTTCAGCGTTGGTTCACACAGACCGACGACCCTTCGGAATGCCTTCCCGCGCGCAGCTGCCTCACCTGAAGTTGTACCCGGAGGAGATGGATTTCGCCGCAAAGCGGTTGTCCAGGCGGCTGAAGTGATAGCGGGGGTTGCACTTGGAGGCGTCCTTGTCCAGGTCACAGTCCCACTCGATCTGGATTCCGATCACGCCACCCTGGAGGGAAGGGAGACAAGAGGTGCTTCGGTGGGAGATGCAGAGCCTCGGACCGAACGTGGCTTTCGGTTTCTTTCCCTAGCCATCGATAGGGTGGGCTCTTGGCCTCTGAAAGACCTCTAAATAAAATAAAATGCCCGTCCGTGCTTTTTCTGTTTGAACGTGGTAATGGGATGGGAACTCTTGACATTATGCATTAAGGATCTATAAGGCAAGCCCTCGTTCCTCCTATCAAACAAGGTGTCGGCTGACTCTTACGTCAACGCTGGAGGCTTCCCAGTATCTTCTATCAGCGTGAAAAGAGGCAGACTAGTTGGGGGGGAGGGAGGCAGAGAGGTATGGCTGACCCTAGAGCATTTGCCGCCTGAGGCACCTGCCTCATTCTTCCTTCTTAAGTGGGCCCGCTCATCTCTCCCTCTCACAGACGGCGGCCGGTAAAGGATCTTTTGCTGCCAGTACTTCGCCCACCCAGTTGGGGTGTGCTGGTCCCCGAACCCAGGAAAGGAAGCGAAAGGAAGCTTTTCCGCACACCTCTGACGCCATTTCCTGGAAGTCGCTCCCAGCCCATCGGACGAGGCTTCCCAAGGAGAAGATGGGGCAGTAGAGATGCTCAGGTCCATACCGGCAGTTTTTCAGGTAGGAGTTGTCGTCGGTGTCCAAGACATTGGTCCTACAGAGAAAGCAGGAAAGCTCAAAAAGAGACAGGAAGCTTCCGACCAGCCTTCCCTGACCTGGTTGGTTGGGGATAATGGGAGATGCAGTCCCCCACACTTCAGCTGCAAGAGGTTGGGGCAAGCTGGAGCATTTTGGAACCCAGAGCTACGCTGAAGAATTCGAATGATTTAATACTTCCCTTTTCATTATCCTTCCCCCCGCCCATGGTGATCTTTGCTAGTGATGATGATGATGTAGAAAACAATTTGAAGCCAAGATCCACCAGGCTTTCCCTTTTCCCTACCCTGTCATCTAGTAGCCATTCATTCCACCCGGCCGGGGAACCTCATCACACTGAGAACCTGAGTTGATTTGTTTTCCTTTGCCCTCCCTGTCGCCTCTACCTTTTGTGCTGTGTCTTTTTAGATTCCAAGCCTGAGGGCGGGAACCATCTCCTCATCTTTTTTCCTTCTGACTGATACGTCTGCAACTCTAAAGAGTTTTTCAGGCTGTACAGCCGGACGGGCAGGCTCTTGATTCATAAATGAATCCTCACCCTTAGTGACTGAAAACGACATGGCTGTGACACTCACTTGGAAAATTTGAAACGGGGGAAACGGATGGAATTCTTGATGTAAATGGTGAAATTCTCAGCATTCGCTAGAAGGAGTTTCCTACAAGAGAAGAGTGGATGGTTGGCCTTAATAGCCTTTCCAAAAAAACGGCGTCTGGCCAGAACTGCAAATCTTGGTTCGATTAGTTTTGATGCATGGATAGGTGCCTACCTGGGTCGCCCTTTCTTCTCCACGGGGCACCAGGCAAAAATTTCACAGGTCCCGTTTCTGTTGCCTCCAGTTTTCAAACAGCGGCCAGTCTTAACCCCTAGGGAGCAAACACCGTTAAGGAGAAAAATGAAAAGCCCAGCAGCTGTTCGCTATCTCCCTGAAAAAGTCTTACGAGAAAGATAATGGCATTTATCTTCAGGCAGGCTTTTCCGTAATGACAGGTGGTCCGAGAGGGCTTTTTTACATGGACTGTTGTGAAAAGTCTTACGAGAAAGATAATGGCATTTCTCTTCAGGCAGACTTTTCCGTAACGACGGGTGGTCAGAAAGGGCTTTTTTACATGGACTGTTGTGCTCTAGGTAGGTAGGTAGGTAGGTAGATAGATAGATAGATAGATAGATAGATAGATAGATAGATAGATAGATAGATAGATAGATAGATAGATAGATAGATAGATAGATGATATGCTCATATTATGATCCTTGTTTTTACAGCAGAATGATCTATTTTAGGGCCAGTTTATTATTATTTTCTTGGATAGATAGATAGATAGATAGATAACAGGTAGGTGATATGCTGGTATTATGATCCTTGTTTTTACAGGAGAATGATCTGTTTTAGGGGCAGTTTATTATTGTTTTCTTCATTTTATTATTTTAAAGGAAAATTCCTTACCGTTACCCGCAACCACAGCTTTTCCCTCTGGACAATCACTGTCGTGATAACACAGCGCATCGGGAATGCCAGGGCTCTGCAGAGTGGAGGGGGAAAAAAAACAGAATTACTTAGAGGCTAAATGCAGAATTTTCTCATCCAGGATGACAGTGTAGAAAAGGTCTTTTTTGACTCCATTTCTCAGAAAACATGCCGGCGCAAACGGCTCCTCCTTCTCCTCCCTTAATTTCCATCCCCCACACACCAGTCCTATGAGGTAGGCCAGACCGAGAGAAAAAAATAACTGGCCCAGGGCTGCCAGCAAAGTCATGCAGCCGAAAACTCTTTGAGACTTGGGCGCCTTACGCCGTCCCCTGACCCCCCTACCTCTGGACAGGTGCTCTGCCGTTGATTCGGGGTGACAATCAAGTTTGTCATTACGAAGAAGACGCTTTCGCCCTAGCAGAGGGGGAAGAGGAGGAACAATGAGGAGGGGAAAACAAGACAGGCTTTCTCTGTGCACAAATCCTTTTACAGAATCTGCTTGTATTATTTGATTTAACAGCAGGATTATTAAGATCTCAGCAGCTGGCTGGGCAAGTCAGTGGTTTAGATCTCTGGCTGTGGAGCCAGAGGTTGTGAGTTCGATTCCCCCCACGGTACCTCCAGAGGTTGTGAGTTCGATTTCCCCCACTGTACCTCCCAGGGAGAAGATCCAGCATGGGTGGCCTTGGGCCAACTGCACGCTGGTTCCAGAGCGCCCCCACCAGCCTGGGTGGCCTTGGACCAACTGCACGCTGGTCCCAGAGCGCCCCCGCCCCAGAGGAAGGGAAGGGAAAACCACTTCTGAGTACCTCTGCCTAGAACACCCTGAATACGAACTGGCTTGACAGCACACAATTAATTACAATTAAGACCTGATGAGCTGAAAAATGGCTGCATCACCTATCCTCACTCACAAATAAGCAACAGAATTAGCACCTTGCACCCCCCCAGAAAAAACAGATTTGCATCCGTTCGCTGAGAGCTGCATCACCTATCCTCACTCACAAATAAACAAATTAGCACCTTGCACCCCCCAAAAAAAAACCAGATTTGCATCCATTCACTGCACCGCTTTTAAAACATAATTTCACTCTCCCCAAATTAACTAGTTCCATGTAACTCGTTTCCAGAGAACCAGTTCCTTCCAAGTTCCGCCGACAGCCCTAATCAAAGCTGCGTAGGCGGCCAGGGGTGTGGTGTTATTTTTGCCGGACACCCCTGCCCAAACGTCATGTGTGGACCAAACGCCGACAGGACAAGAAAGGGAAACTCAAATGGAATCGGGGTTCCAAACCTGCGGGGGGATGACGTAGTCAGCCACGTCCCAGAGCCTCCCGCCCAGCTCCGACGTGTTGGTGAAGGCCACCCCTTTCACTTTGGTGATGACCGAACTCTGGAGGGAGGTGTCCGTGTCTTGGTAGCCCTTCTTGACCACAAACACCCACCTGGAAAAGGAGGCAGGAAAGAGAGCGGATCGCTGATAGAACGGATGGCAATCATCATCATTTTTTTCTCTGGACTGGAGACTTTATCAGAGTTGCGCTCGAGCGGATCGCTGATAGAACGGATGGCAATCATCATCATCAACATCCTTTTTTTTCTCTGGACTGGAGACTTCATCAGAGTTGCACTTTAGACATGGCCAGGAGCACTCTTGCTATCCATACGAGACGCAAAGTGATGTTGAAGTAAACCTGAGTTTGATTTTTTTTTACTCCTTCATAATAAGCAGCTCATCCACCATTCTCTGTCTTACAGGGCAAGGCCGTGTGTTTCTAAGAGACCTGTTGAAAATCCTCCCTTTTCCCCTTTTTTTTCAAGGGCTGGCTTGCCTTTTAATGATGCCCAGCCTAGCATTATCTGAATCAAACCGAAACGTTTGCTTCCCCTGCATTGATTTTTCAGTTTGGCTCCTCTCGTCCAAAGTACCTTCCCTTTGTTAGGGTGAAAAACTGCATCCGTTCGAAAGGAAAATCAATGCAAGGAGGAAAAACGGACCACGGAAAGATTGAGGGCCGAGGGGGGCAAAGGCGAGGACCCAAACTTGCAATGATGGATGCAGATCCTCTATTTTATACAGCCAGGAATTCTGCTGTATCTGTTTATTCCTCTTGGATCTGAATGTACCGCAAAGAACCGCCCACGGGGCTCTAAACAGAGCTTGCAATGGGGAACTGAGGCCTGCCCGTGGAATTTTGCTGCCCGAGGCAGTAAACGGGACCGGCTCCATCGTGAGGCGAAGTGAGGCGGCTGCCTCCGGCAGCAGGGCCGTGATGATGATGGGACATGGAAGGGTCAGCAACTGAAGACAAGGTTGTGTCTTCTAGGCAAGCTGACTTTCACCCCCTTCGCCAGAGATAGCGTAGCCCAGATATCTTTTCCAGGGAGTATAGCCAGTGAAGGGGGATGATGGGAGCTGTAGTCCAATTTATTCAGGTCCCTCCTTTCTGTTCTCTCTCTCTCTCTCCTCGCTGGCCTCCATCAAGATTTCCATCGCAAATGGAATCTATAAACATGGCCACAATCATTGTGGGGGGAAAAACTGGGCAGCCCGGTCTTCAAAATAAAAAGTGAGCTGGCCGAAAGGTAGACTGCCTCTGAACATGGGGGGGGGGTCCCTTGAACTAGTGCAAATCGTCGCTTGTTGAGTTTCAGCTAGTTCTTGAATTTGCGCAAGAGAAAACGAGCTGGAGGCATCCACGGAGGACAGAAGAAGGGAGGGGAAAGACCTTGTCCATCATTAAAAGCCACAAGGAGTAAATAAGAGTATTGAGGGCACTTACTAAAAAATGGAGCTCAACCGTTGGCCGGATTCTGGCCACGGGCCCAAATCCCGACCAGCCGCTGAGCAGACTTTTGCCAGAGGGGCAGATCTCGGCGCAGGGGGTTAATCTGGAAAAGCCACAGGGCGACAACGTTTGCCTCGGTTTCCCTGAGCAAGCATCCTTTCACGGGAGTGTCACTAGAACCCAGAACCTCCCCCCAACCCTAGGAAGGGGGTCTCAGCCCGAAAGTGGTTAAGAATGGAACCCATCTTTTGAGCTTCAGGACCACCTCCGTCAAAAGAAGAAGAAACCCTGTAGCCGATCCTGCCCAGTGGGAAAAAAGGAAAAAAATGACATGACACATTGACTCAGTCTCCCAGTGATCTCCAGAGAGTTGCTGGGCAGAACAGGGAACACTGGGGTGAAATGGGAAAATGCCACGGCCCGAGAAACAGGGGAGTCTAAGAATTCCTTGACCACCTCCATATATCCGGCAGATCTCAAGTTCAATTCAAGGCTAGAGACCCAGACCTGTCAAATCCTATCTCCGACCCGCTTGAAGCCAGAAATATTTGTTCCCCCCCAAAAAACATAAAAATAAAAAAACCACCCCAAATTAGAACAGGTGAAAGGGCTGGGGTGTTTTCTTTCTTCCGGCCGGACGCCTCCGTGCCCTGCCGGTTCTCTTACCCCACGATGTAGGCCATGATGGAGAGCTGGACCGTGCGGTAGAGGATCCCTACTTTCTTATTTTTGGCGATGACATATTTCTCGGTTTTATAATCGAAGAGCGAGAGGCACAGAGCTTTCCAGGCGATCTGTCCCATCCTGCTGGCTCACCCGGCATCCGCGTCGCCTCTGGAGGAAAGGGAAGGGGGGGAGAAAAAGAGAGGGGGGGAATTAAATAAGAAAATTAAGTGACAGCACAGTCCACGGGGCTGGTGGTGGTGGTTGATGGGGACGTTTGCCCCACGTGCTTAGCATGGGAATCGGAAACGCTGTCTCCTTTTAGCACACGGCATCGGCTGCTTCGTCCTCCTGGATGCTCTTTGCTGCCAACGCTTCACGGCAAAAAAAAAATAAAAAAAATGCTGCAGCAGCCGAGAGGGAGGAGGGCAGGCGGGTGAAGGTACAAGGGAAGAAAGCGCCTTCGTCAGCCGCCAGACGCTGGGTCCTCTGGAGGGGATGCTTCAGAAGCCCTTCTCAGGCTGCAGAGAAGCCTATAAATTAGAAGCCACTCGGGGTGGCTGGCTGGCTTGCAGGGGTTTGGGCATGATTAGGCCGAGAAAGGAAAGGCAGGGAGAGGCGATATCCGGGAAGCTGGCAAGTCTTTGGCTCCGAGTCCGAAATCCGAATTTTGGGCACCAGGTCCCGAGTTCGAGTCCAAGTCTTTGGCACCAGGTCTCATGTCTGAGTTCTTATTAAAAACAAGATTTTTCACCCCAAGGAAAAAAAAGAGGGACGGGTGGCTGGGTTCCAAGCCGCGAATCATATTGGGCATAAATGTCTCATCCTCAACAGCTCGGCTCTTGCAAACTCACTCCTGTGGCTTCCTCGAGGGCGTCCATCCATCTCGTGTTGGGGGTCTTCCTCTTTTCCTGCGGCTTCTCGCCTTTCCCAGCATCCTGGTCTTTTTCCAGAGAATCCTGTCCAAAAGAGGACAGCCCAAGTTTCGGCATGTGGACCACCAAACGGGAAGCCAAGCGATTTATTTTCTCCCTCTTTACAAAGGCTTTTAAATCCCTAGAATTGCATAAGGTTGAATGCCGGGCACATTTCCTCAGGGAGACAGTCTATCACTCTCCTATACACTGAGAGGCAAAGCTTGGCCCTCCCTGCTTTCTCAAAGCACACTTACTCAGGAGTAAGTCCCTCTTGAGATCAGTGGGGCTTCTCTTGAGTATAAGACGCTTAGGTGGTTTTTTAAAGTCTGGACTTTAAACTTTGGAAACACGAAGGGTCTAAAATTAACTCCTTCCACCGCTGCAGTTTCTTCTTTACCACATCTGGCCCTTCCCGCAGGTGCTCGAACCCCTGCGAAGGACGGCTCGTCTCTCTTCTCAAATCCGCTCACCAGGAAAAGGGTGTTTTCCTCCCCCAGACCGGCTTCCGATTCAGGGGTCACCTTTCGTGAGGACGGCCGGGGAGGGCCTTTCAGAAGATCAGCATCAAGACTATGAGCCCCGCGGAGCAGATGCTGCTCGGTGCCCTTTCGCCGACCGATGTAAACCCTCCCCTTCGGGTCTCATCCTGCTGAGATCCTGCTGTTGCGTCGGCACGACACCTTTCCCAACAGCTGGACGCGCCGTGCAAGTCACAAAGCTTGGATTCGCGTCTAGGACAAGCGTCCCCCCCTCTCAACTTTCCTCTAGGACAGCAGTTGGGAGAGCCCCTCCCCCCCCGTTTTTAGCCTTGTAACAAGCACCTTGCGAGGTAGGACAGGTCAGCCGAGAGACCACCCGGCCCACAGTCAACCGGTCCGTTTCATGGTTTGGTGGGAGAACAGAACCTACCTTTCCAGAATCTCAGTCCTGCATCCCAACCGCTATGTCACACTGCCCGTTCTGGAGATCTAATCTAGAAACCTGCTTTTTACCATGTCATGCTGTTTATTCAACCAGGGGTTGAGGTCTCTGGCTGCAGAGACAGAGGTTGGGAGTTCGATTCCCCCCACTGGGCCTTCCTTGACTGGGGCTGGACGGGATGATCCCAGAGGGTCCCTTCCGGCTCTGCCGTTCTGAGATTATTCTAAACGTTTCCTTCTCAGATTAGCTGTGGCCAACTCTCTGTTGAGTCGCTCCAAAGATGACAGGGATTGAACCCGAGACCCTCGGCATGCAACCCCAAACCTCTCCTGTTGAGCTTTGGTAAAATTAAGTTTCTAGTCCTCATGGGTGAGACTGCAGACCTGATTCACACAGGAACATAACAAGAGCTGCCTTATCTCAAATCAAACCATATGGGCGTTGATTCTAAGTTGTTCTTTACGCTGACAGGCGCCGATTCTCTGGTGTCACAGGCGGAAAGAAGGTGACGGTGTTGACTTTGAAATAATTACATTTCAGACGGCAGCCTTGTAAAAAAAGATTTGTGAGTCCTGTCTAATCTGGATGCAAAAAGTACCTTTCCTGCAAGCACTGAAATTCAGGACGAAGGCAGACGGAGAAGTAAACTATTTAGCATGGAAGAGGGGTCTCTTTCTACCACTCCTTCACAATGCTACTTCTGTACTCATCAGTTAATGAATTTTGTTTCTTTTTGCCAGCAGGTAAATCAGAAATGCATTTGGGGAGATGTCGAACTGGGACTTATTCCCAAGCTGATGGCCCATGAGCTAAACTCTGCTTTGCACGCCGGAAGCTGCATAGATGCAAAAGGAATTGGGTGGTGTTTCGTACGCCAGAAGACTGTTGCAATGGGGTGTGCTGGAGAGGAGAAATGCACAACATTCAGCCGGTGGAGGCTTGCTCCCAAACAGACGTGCCTGGCTGAGCTGTGCTTTGGAGGCCTAAAAGCTTAGGCTTATGCCTGAACAGACATGCATCTGGCGGAGCTGTGCTTTGGTGTAGAGGACAGTTCCTAAGTAGGCTTGCCAGGGTGCCAGGCAGGCAAAGGACCAGTTTGGCAACCAATACCCACTTTGGTTTGCCCACCCCCTTTAGGTCCCAAGCCCCTCTCTTGGCCCAAAGGTGGCCCTCAAGACCCTCTCACAATTGAGTTTTGGCCCTGCAGCAGAAAAAGGGGATAAACCTCTCGAGGTGACTCCATTTCTGGTTGGGAAAATGCTCCTTTCTATCTGTCGGCATCTGGAGAAGAAAAAGAAGAAAAAATGTTGGACTACAACTTACAGAATCCCCGAGCCGGTGGGGTCAATGCGAGTCTCAAATGGCTGATGGAGGACGTTCTGCTTTTTCTTTATAAAAAAAAAGCATCGGAAACCCTTCATCCAAAAACCAATCTACAAAGCTGGACAGATCCAACCAAGGGTGCTGACATGTCCTGTTTTACGTTTCATAAATCATATTTAGGAACACAAGAAAATGGAAAACCGGAACGGATGCTTCTGCTGGCTCAGCAACCTCCTAGCTTTCGACATGCCATTATTTCTTTCAAACAAATAAATCAACCGAACCGCCGAGGTGCCGCTGGTTTACACAGAGGCAGCCTGAGCCATGGACCAAAGTGCCGGGCCATTAAATACTCTGAAAAGAGACTTTTTATTATGATGTGAGGCTGTTATCTCAGATTCCAAACAATTCCAGTAAATCAGCTCCCGGGGAACATAAGGACCAGATCGATAGAGCAAAACACATTATTATTATTTCCCCCCCCCCAATGTTGTCACTGCCTCTCTTTTCGCACACCTACCTTGCTAAAGAACACAGCTCAGCCCCCCCCCCCCAATGTTGTCGCTGCCTCTCTTTTCGCACGCCTACCTTGCTAAAGAACACAGCTCGGCAGGGGAGTGGCTCCTTCAGACTACAAGTCCCAGAACCCCCAAGCCACTGGGGGATTCTGGGACTTATCATCCAAGTTATAATTCCTTTACTGACAGATGCGCACAACTGCCTGCTTGGTGGTCTTTTTCACTAAAGGAAAAGCTGAAAATCCAGAGGCAGAGGACAGATCCAACCTATGGCCCAATCCCAAGGGCTTGTCAGGAAAATCGAAATAAAGTTGTAAATGTTCTGTTAGAAGTGACCAGCAGAAAGCTATTCTCCGTTGCCGTCTTTCTCAATGGTCCAAACAAATCTTCCAGTGAAAATTGGCACAACCGATTTATTCTCTGCAGAAATTTAACGGGGGTGTGCATGCAAACTTCGCTTATTCCTTGAAAGTTGACTGTTCTTTACACACATCTTTGCGAGTGTTTTTTTCAATGAGTTAAGACCATCACTTTTCTCTTCTGCAGCTTTTTTTAAAAAAGGGGTTGGGTAGGAAAGTAAAAGCTTGCAACCATCAGCATCAAACACCTCACAGTGCTGTGGTGCTAAAGTCTGTCCCCGGAACAAATGGGAACTAAAAATAAACCCTGCTTTCAGGAGCGACCAAAAAAAAAGAGGATAGAGTTGAGGCAGGGGAATCAGGCCACCAAGCCAGTTATGACCTTCCGTTGTGCAGATGCAGGAGGAAACATCAGTAAAATCAGCATACTGTACAGTTCGAAGAATAAACATCTCTAGAAAGCCTTCTGAGTCTGTAACCCGTTGGGAGGAAGGACAACCAACCGTTTCGTTCCACCCAGACAAACAGATCTTACCCGTCCCAAATTTCTATTCCGGTTTTCCTTTCCAAAACACAAATCGACAAATCTGCTGTAAAGAACTTGGAAAAGTTGCTTTTTTCCCCAAGGCCAACCCCCATCATCCCCAAAGCCGGCACTCCCCAAACTTTCCCCGTCTCCACACGCCATCAAAGGACCAACGTGCCTGTCCAGAGAGAACCACTGAAGTCCTCCCTGGTGAAATACAGACCGTCTTTTGACAGCCACTTAAGAGATTAAATGGAGCGCAGCAGAAGAAAGGGGATTAACATGCCGGGAGAAGAGCGTTCTCGTTCAAAGGCACTTAACAGCCCTCCGCCTGGCTCGCCTCCCATTTCTGCAAATAACTTTAGCCAAGGCTGAGCCAAGCATGAAAGGACACTGGTTTTTATGTCATGCCAGGGATGACCGAACTGCAGCTGTATATAATTTCTCCTGCCTGGTTTTGGCTCCTTCTTCCGCCTGAATTGGTGCCAGAGTTCTGGAGGAGCCGGCGATGCAAAAGGCCTTTTAATTTCTCTGTTTATTTCTGAATAATTCAGGGCAAGGAGGAGGCATCGGGAGATGCCCGGAGGTTGTTGGACTACACACCCCATCACTGTCTGCAGACGAGGTCAAATACAGAGCCCTGAGGCTGGTGTCCTCGGATGTCCCAACTCTCAACCTGATCTACCCTGCAGGGGCGTTGTACGGATAAAAGGGGGACCAAGAGAGCCCTATCCATGCCGTCTGAGCTAAAGCTGGCAGAGATGCACCGCAGATAAATAAAAGCATTTATTATAGCATTATTATATTCTTTTTTGTTTTGCTGTATTCTAAATCTAGTTGTTCATTTCTTAAAACACAATGAAAAAACTCACTCATCTTTCTTGTCAGCCAGGCTCCCTTCAGTCCTGCCTCAAACTCCATATATATATAAAAAAAAGGCTCAAGAATTTTAAAGGGCTTGTTTGTTCTCAGGAAATCCCTCAAGAATCATCCAATTGTAGGTGGTTGCCTACGTTGATGCCCAGGAGTGCCCTAATAAATTCTCCCTAGGCGGGCATGAAGTGGAACAAAGGGTCTAATTAGAGAGAGCAATTACCAAGAAATTTCAGTGAATGCCTTGTACAGGATCGCTCGGGGGATTAAGGCTGCATCCTCTTCTATTTTCCACACAGAAGGAGGGGAGCATCAGAAGATCATCTGCCTGACCTTGGAGTTTCTTTCAAGCAAGGAACAACTGGTAGGGACGTCCACCAGGTGGGCGGGAGAACCACACGAGGAGCCATCCCGAAGACTTTACATGTGTAAAATGAACGTCTTTGCCAGCTGTAAGTCAGATCACTTTTTCCTAGGTTGTGTGTTACTTCATGTCATGTCATGCTGCCAGACTAATGTCTCATCTGCCTGACCTTGGAGTTTCTTTCAAGCAAGGAACAACTGGTAGGGACGTCCACCAGGTGGGCGGGAGAACCACACGAGGAGCCATCCCGAAGACTTTACATGTGTAAAATGAACGTCTTTGCCAGCTGTAAGTCAGATCACTTTTTCCTAGGTTGTGTGTTGCTTCATGTCATGTCATGCTGCCAGACGAATGTTTATTCTCTATGTACCTATGTAAACAGACTAAGTCGTTGGTTCTTACTCTCTCCTGGAGGCCCAAGGTTGGGGACCACTGCTCTATGTATCTATGTAAACAGACTAAGTTGTTGGTTCTTACTCTCTTAGTGTCCTAAGTATCTCTGCTAACCAATATCTCCTTACACTAGTGATGTTATGAGAATACACGTTATAATCAAAAGTCTCAACAGCTATAGGGTCAGAATCACGCCCTCCTCATCCCGCCATAAGCATCCAAATGGCGGGCTCCCAGCAGTAATAAGTGGTGGCCGTTTCCCCTGCGACTGCTAGAGATCCTGGGACAGGCTCTGTTGGTGTGTTTTCATCTCGGCCTTCCTGCCATCGGGAAGATGGAGCCCCCTTCTCCCACTCATTCTTACTACACCCACCCTGCAAGGTAGGTCCAGCAGTGACAGACACCATCCCAAGGTCAGCTGTGGGTTTCAGGGCTGGGTAGGAATTAGAAAAGGGGTTTTCTTGTCCCCATCCAGAACTCTGTAACAGCTACATCTGCATCTTCCTCCTGGGAGTGCCCCCTGCAAAGCCTGCCACCCAGCCCTAACCCCCACCTACCAAAAAACTGTCACTAGCCTTTTCTCAACAGTTCCTTACACACAGAGAGAGAGAGAGAACAGAGAAGCTTCGGCCCATCATAGCCTCCCACGCTCAAAAGAGCCACAACTGTCACTAGCCTTTTCTCAACAGTTCCTTACACAGAAAGAGAGAGAACAGAGAAGCTTTGGCCCATCATAGCCTCCCACACTCAAAAGAGCCATGGCCCTCACCTTGAGCCACTTTGTGGGAAGGGAAGGCTTATCACGAAGAAGCAACAAGCACTAAAAATATGCCGGTTTCCCTGGCAACTCACCATGCGCCGTTTCCCAGCATTAACTACCAAAAATACCTGCATCTTGAGGAGGATAAAACTTTCCTCCAAAAAACGAGCCAGGAAGCACGAATTCTGAAATGGTTCGTGGCAAAACAGCCATTCGTTGGAAGGTGAGCTTTCAGAGGGCCAGACCTCCATCTCTCTTTGGGGAGAGATTCACACAACGAGAAAACTGGTTTCGCAGCTGAAAAGATCTCATCAGGGGATCTGGAGTTCGTGGCAAAACAGCCATTCATTGGAAGGCGAGCTTTCAGAGGGCCAGACCTCCATCTCTCTTTGGGGAGAGATTCACACAGTGACAAAACTAGTTTCGCAGCTGAAAAGATCAGGGGATCTGGAAGATGTTTCCTGGATCGGGGGTTCTCAACATGTTGGGTGTGATGATGCACCCACCTCTCTGCCGAGGGACGCAGGGCCCCGACGATCTTTGAAAGAGAAACAGCGCTTTTTCCAGGACATTGATATATTTGCAAGCATTTCAGGCTTATAGTTATTATTGGCAGTGCCTTGTACGGGCCTCACCATTACAACAATATTGTGGATGTAAAACAGAAACACCAAAATCCTATGGACTTTTTCCTCTGTGGGGCAACAAAGTCACAGCGGCTAATTGAAGCTAATTGACAACGGGCCTGGGTGTGCCCCAGGCACTTTATTAATTAGCCTCTATTAGCTACCACTCCTACCGGGTGAGGAAAAGGCTCAAAAAAGGCAACTAGTAATTCTAGGAGCAGTTTAAAATGGTAATAATACAGCTGAAAATAACATTTTATCTCTAAGGTTAAAGTGTAAAACATAAAGATATAATTTTAAAGGCCGGTAGTATTTTTGGAAATGCATCTTCCTGCTATGAGCCAATTCATAATAGGTATTTAAAGTCAGTTTAAAACCACCTAGCTTTCAGTCTTGGGAGGAACTTGCTGGTTTCTCTAGCTAAAGAGAGGAGAAATTGTTTCAAGAAGAGAGCTTCGCATGGCCAACAGCCTGGATAATCGCTTTGCTGAAGCTCCCTGGTAGAATCTCTGCTTACTGATCTCCAACTGAGAAAACAGGGTTTAATTTCCGTTTAGATTCTCAGATTCATCCGATTGTCTGTCATTCCATCCCGCATCTTGGTCTACTTTCAGCGAGTCGTCTTGTTCCCTCATGTGTTGGTAATTCCTTTTGAAAAAGCCACACTAGAAATACAGAGACAAACAACAAATGAAACATGTCTTTTGTTATTTTGTTTTTCATGATGTTGTTTTGAATTATATACCGTCCTGTACGGCTAATGTACTTACTTTCTGGGTGGTTAACAACACAATTAGGCAAGGGACAACGTACCTCCCCCCTCCCAGTGAGCCTGGTACTCATTTTAGCAACCTCAGAAGGATGGAAGGCTGAGTCAACCTCGAGACGGTGAGCTAAGCCTATGAAGATCAAATTCAGCTCATGAGCAGAGTCTTGGCTGCAGTACTGCAGTTTAACCACTGCGCGATGGGATCTCTTTTCCAACTGTGTCGAAAGACCAATTGTTGGGACTGTAAGCAGATGAAGGAAAGCATGATATCCTTCAGGTATATCCCTTTCTTCATTATAAAACTCCTCTGTGTCCCGCTGCAGTACTGCAGTTTAACCAGTGTGCTATGGGCTCTATTTTCCAACTGTGTCTAAAGACCAATTGTTGGGACCGTAAGCTGATGAGGGAAAGCATGATATCCTTCAGTTGTACTCCTTCCTTCATTATAAAACTCTTCTGTGTCCCATGTCTCTATAGCAAATCTGGCAAATGCTATGGGCTTTTTCTTTTGGACTAAGAGGCCCAGCATTCCCAAGCCAGAATAGCGACGTCCCATACCGGGTGGGGGAATTCATTGCCACGTCCAACAGCAGATTCTGAGAGTTCATAGTCTTTCAAAAGGTTAATTTTCCAGACTTTGAAACGCCTTCTCCCCCGTTCCTGGGAAACCAGAGAAGGCTCAGCCCAGCACACCCCACTGCCGTACGTCGGGAACAGTTCCTCAAAGCAGCACGGCTTTTAAAAAGAAAAATATGAGTTTATATATGGATACTCACTTTATAGAGGAAGAAGATCATGAGAATCAGGAGGGCAAAGCCACCAACAGAGCTTCCAATGACGACAGGGGTGTAATCAAATACGTGTTCCTTCAGAAGGGTGACTCTGATCTATGGACGTCAAAGCAAAAGGGTTCAAGAAGCCTAGGTATGATGGGGCAGGGTAAATTGGCTCACAAACTTTAAAGCAAGGTTCCCTAAGCTAGCCTTTCCTCCATTTGGACTACATCATCCATCCTCTCCAACCGATGTGGGCGGTGGGGGCGAGGGGTTCCGTAGTCTAAAAACCCCAGGGAGGGCATCCGATCAGGGAAACCGACAGATTGATTTCAGCGCCACTGTTTGTCCACGATATATGACAAAACAGCATACCTAAATTTCCCATGGCCACCCCGTTACCTGTGCTTTGTGGTTTTCTGAATTCAGACCCACGTAAAGGTTCTTATTGTAAGAAAGTTCCCCACGAACCACGAAATCCGTCCTGTTTTTCAAGACCTAAAGGATGATTTTTGGGTGGCAGGGGAAAAGGGAAAGTTGAATTCTGTCCCAATTAAAGGGGGAATCATGTTTCATTAAGCGGTGGGGGGGAACAGCCCTTTTCCCCAGCCTGTACCTGGACAGAATTTGCTAATGGTAGCTCTGCAATCACGGTAACCTTTTCCCTCTCCGAAAAAAGGATGCAACTCACTCGCTGATATGTGATGTCTGCGTAGATCTAAGCAAGAAAGTTTTTCAGAATCAGAAAAAAGGAAGGCCAAACACTGCAGAATGGGAAAACGTCTTGCATCTTAAGGGCAGTGATCCTTTGGTCCTGTTTTTAACGCTGTGTAAATGATCTTCCAGGTTCTGAAAGGGGTTATAAATAATAAATTTTACCTTGGGGTCGGTGGATCCAAAATCTACATTCTGGTTGAAAACATTTTCAATTCTGCACACAGTGCCATTCTTGAGGAGGGGAAAGAGAAAAATAATTCTGCGTTATTTCAGACCCCAGAAGAGCAGGGATTTTTTTTTTATTTTTTTTTTGCACACTAGGAAATCCAAAATGTGCATCAAAATTATGATTATCTGGGTGTTGGAGGCTAAGGAGAAGGAGACTCGGTCTGTTGCAGGCTGTGATGGGTGGACTACAACTCCCATCAGCCTTAGCCAACAGCACCAGGATACACACCTGCATGCTGCTGCACCAAAGTAAAACTGAGATTCCAAGTGAACCCCCCAAAAAAGCTCCTTAAAACAGGATCTTCTCCCACTCGGTCGGTTTCCTCCAAACAGCCGCCTCCCGGAGGTGCAGAATGACAATTCCCATCATCCCCAGCCGGCCTGAGCTCACGCCCTCGAGTGAACCTGACCCCCTCTGTGTTTAGTGGCAATAAATATTAGCTGGTGGATGATCTCAGGCCAGTAAATTTTTACCGACCGACCTCGCCGGGTTGTTGTCAGAATAAAACCCTTCGAAGGGAATCCGGAATATATAGGTCGGACTCGCCACCCTTTCCTCTAGGACGGCTGACCATAGAGGCGGCAGAGAATGAAAGGAGAGAGACCGGCCTGCAAGCGGGAAACAAACGCTTCTCCTTCCCCCCCGGTCTCTGATTGGCTCTCGCGCCGAGTCTCGCCCCGGCAGGCCCAACCTCTCGCGAGAGTACCCTCGCTCCTTATGGCGGCCCCCGCGATCCCCTCCCCTGAAGTCTCGCGGAAGGCCCACCCACCCCCATCGGCCCACGGCTGGATCTCGCGAGAGCTGCGTTTGAAATGGCGGCGGGCGCTCCGAAGGGCCGCCCTCGTCGTCGTCGTCGTCGTCGTGGGCCCGGCTGAGGCGAAGCAGGAGCGGGGAGGCGGGCTGGAGGCTGGCGGCCAGCAGGGCTTCCGGCCCTCGGGCTTCCGGCCGGCCCCCTTCCGGGCCCCTCGCTCGCATGGAGCGGCCCCGGCCTCGGCTGCTGGGGACTTACACGGGGCTGCGGGGGAGGCCAGGCCGAGGAGGCGGAGGCGGCGGCGGAAGCAGGGCCGGGCTGAGGGTGGTGCGCCCCGCCGCCCCCTGGATCTCCCCTGCGGTGGACCAGAAGCGCCTCTTCAGCACCAGCTCCTCGGGGGGCGCCTCCTCCTCCTCCTTCTCGCCCCCTTCCACCACCACCACCACCTTCGAGGACCCCGACTTCTTGCCCCCCAAGCGAAGGGCCCGGAAGGCCCCCCAGAGGAGAGGCAAGGCCCCGCCCCGCAGCAGGAAGCCCAAGGGGGCCAAAGAGAACAAGGCCCCGCCGCCGGACCCGGTGCCCCTCGGCTGCTGGCCCTCCACCCCGCTCTGCAGGAACGTCACCCGCCGCCGGGCCGCGCGGGCCACCCCTCCCCTGCCCGCCTTGACCCCGGTGGGGCTGCGGCGCCGGGGGGCCCCTCTGCTGTGCAGCACCCCGGAACTGCCCGTCTTGACCCCGTCGGGGGCGACCAGGGGCCTGGGCGAGGAAGAAGGAGCCGACGACAGCGTCCTCCAGGGTTCGGCGTTCTCCCCCTTCCTCGGCGGCCGAAGGAGTTGCCTGAGAGGCGCCTCGAGGGAAGACGGCCGGTCCGCCTGCGGGGATGCGCTCTCTGAGCTGAGCTTGCTGATGATGGACCCGGCCGACGAGCAGGCGGTGGGAGAGAGCTTGGTGCTCTTTGACAAGACAGACGCCGGAAGGTCGTGGCGGAAATCTCAGCCGCGGTCCTCGCCGTGTCCCGGCCGGTCGCTTTGCACCTCCTTCCAGAGCCGCTCTCTGGCGCGACCTCAGCTTTGGAACCAAGCAGAAGCCAACTTGGGGCTCCCAGAAGGACTCGGGGCCTCGCCGGCACCTTCTGTGCCCAGCCCCAGTCAGGGGACGGATTCTGGCCAAAGGCTGCCTGCGACACCCAAGGCGAATGATGCGTTTTCCTTGCGGGGAGCTTTCCAGCTCCAAGTCACCGTGTGTGATGACGGCAAACTCGCCCTCACCTTGCCGAGGAACGCAGCCCCCCTTCCGAACAAGAGGCAGCGCCTCTCGCTTCAGGCCGCAGCCGTTCCTCTGAAGAAGAGGCGTCCTGGGCTGAATGGCGCTTTCCTAGAAGAAGCGAGCGTTAGAGATAAAAGCAGTCCTCGGCTCCAGCCGGTCGTGCTCTTGGACAATCGGGTGGTTCTCAGCTGGTTGGCGAGTCGCTCCTCCAGAAAACAAGGAGCAGATCCCTGCATCTCAAGAGGAGAGTGTCCTTTGGAACTAGATTCTCCCGGTGCCCTGCCTGGAGGCTCAGACGCCACAAGCCATAATCAGGTGGCCCCGACGTGTGGGGCTGGGACCACCGGTCGGAAAGCTTGCATCAGTGGGTTCAGTTCCAACCGTTGGGGTCAACGCAGGAGACTCAAGCCAGGGAGACGTAAGAAGTGCATGGGGTGGAAAGAGCTGGCAGAGACGTCCCGCCTGCAGGAATCCTTCAGGAATCCAAAGGAAGAAGATTCGGCCTTTGTTTGTCCATCTTCTCTAGACTCTTCCTTCAGGGACGCCAGCTTGTGGCGCCGGATTCGGGCCTCTTTTTCTCTCCACAAGAAAAAGAAAATCCTCTCGGAGCCCGAAAGCTGCAACAGCAGCATCACCCCAATGTCTGTCCGATCCCACTTCACTGAGGTGCTCAAGACCCCCTTCACGCAAACGCTGGGCTATTCCATTTGTCCGACGTCTTCCATGGTCCTGCTGTCGTCCATGACATCGTCGTTTTTCTCGTCCGAGGCGACCCTGACGGATGCCGATAAAGTTTTTGGGGAATGCCAGCAGACGGGGCCGATCTCTTTTGAGACCTGCATCCCCCCCGATAGGATGCGGAAGTGTGAGAAGATCGGCGAAGGAGTCTTTGGGGAGGTTTTCAAGACCGAGGGGGAAAGGGGGAGCGTGGCGTTAAAAATAATTCCCATTGAAGGGAGCGACAAAGTCAACGGAGAACCTCAGAAGACCTTCAGCGACATTTTGCCGGAGATCATCATTTCAAAGGAGCTCAGCCTCTTAGCAGACGAAGAGAGGAACCATACCTCCGGCTTCATCTGCTTGTATTCCGTCCACTGCGTGCAAGGGGCTTACCCCGAGCCCCTCCTGAACGCCTGGGACAGATACCACCGGCTGAGGGTCTCTGAAAACGACCGGCCAGACTTCTTTGGGGACCAGCAGCTTTTCGTGGTCTTGGAGTTCGAGTTTGGCGGCACCGACCTGGAGAACATGCGCCGCCGGCAGCTGAGCTCGGTGGCTACCGCCAAGAGCATCCTGCACCAAGTCACGGCTTCGCTGGCCGTGGCCGAAGAGGCCCTGCGGTTCGAGCACCGGGACCTGCACTGGGGGAACGTGCTGGTCAAGAAGACCGACTTGAAGGAGGTGAGCGTGACGCTCAACGGGGAGACCCGGCTCCTTCGCACGCACGGCGTCCTGGTCAACATTATTGACTACACGTTCTCCCGCTTGGAGAGGGACGGTTTGACGGTTTACTGCGACCTCTCCGGGGACGAAGAGGTCTTCCAGGGGAGAGGAGATTACCAGTTTGATGTCTACCGGCAGATGAGGGAGGAAAACGGGAACCAGTGGGCCGATTACTTTCCCCACAGTAACGTCCTGTGGCTGCACTATTTAGTGGACAAACTTTTGAGCGAGGTGTCCTATAAGAAGAAAGCGACGACGGCCCCGTTGAGGCAGGTGCAGAAACAACTGAAGCTCTTCTCCCAAGAGGTTCTCGGTTTTAGGTCTGCCACGGAGGTCCTGAACACAAGCACAATCTTCCAGCGAACAGATCAGGGTTGACACTGTTTTAGGAGCTATACAAATAAGCATCTATTTTTATGTGTTCTGCATATAGCAGAAGCGTTGGGGTTCTCCCCTGCCCGCTAAAGTTCAGACCCCCTCTTTTTTTTATGGCAGCACATGTGCTGTTTAATTGGTCTTGTGTTCTGTCTTAATAAGCGGATTTCAGCCTAGATCGCTATCCTTAAAAAAATCACTTTTAGTTTTACCTGTTTTAATTAAAGCCACACTTTTAAACTTCTCTGCTTTTTAAAAAATGTTTTGCAAGGTTTTTTTTAAAAAAACATTTCTTTCTTTTAAAATAATCACAGTATTATTTTAAAAATAAACCTCACGCACATAATGTGCTTTAGCTTTGCTATCCGTGCTAGTTTACCTTTTGCAATATTAAACCTGCAATCAATGTTTTCTACAAGTAAAGGTTTGTTGTAAGCCAACTGGTAAAATTCTATGTTTTTTTTAAATTACTAGTAGTGTATTTTTGTAATGGCTGGAACAGTACAGTTTTATTTTTACAGCTAAGTCTTTTTGTTTTTGTTGTTGTTTCCTCAAAAGGATTAGTAAGAAAGCCTCGGTGGGGTGCAGGCACAAAACTGTTCTTTATCTAAGAAGGCGAAAAGGCTGGCTGGAGAGTTCAGGGGTTTTGGGCTCTGGCTGCAGGGCCAGAGTCTGGGAGTTTGATTCCCCCACCGGGAGAAGAGCCGGCCTGGGTAGCCTTGGGCAAGCCACACAGTCCCAGAAGAAGGGAAGGGGAAACGTCCATTCTGAGTACTCAGTACCCAGAAAACTCTGAAAAAGGGCCGCTGTAAGTCAGAACTGACTTGAGCGCACGTGATTATTTATATTATTAGCAAAACTAAGGCTCGTAAGTATCATTTAACCACCCTGCCCGCTTCTTGGGCCAGGCGTGGTGTCAACTTTAGGAAAGGGTTCCCTGCGTCGGCGGCTGCTCGCCACGACCCTCTAGTTCCTTTACAGCAAGAATGGGCAGAAGGGGAGCTTCCGAAAGGGTTGGGCTGGGAGTTCTTTCAACCTTGCACAACCTGGGGCTGATGGGAATTGTAGTCCAGCGGGGTCTAGAAGTTTCCCCACCCTTGCCTGCACAGGCTGCTTATTTATTTATTTTATTTATTCAATTTATATGCTGCCCACACTACCCAGAGGTCTCTTGGCTGTTCTTAAAAAACTCATCCTCAGTTACAAGCTCAGTCCCGTGGGGCTGATACGGAGCCCAGGGAGGGGCTGACCATTTTCCGTCTGTCTGTCTTCACGCACCGGTTCCGTTAGTCGCTCCCACCCCCTCCTTCTGTGCAGAAAACTAAAGCCAGTGTCGCTTCTCTCCCCTGAGTCGCACAAGGCGGAACCTGCTGTGTGGCAGTCAGTCGCTCTCCCTAATTAGACCCCTGGCGGCGTCATTTAGGGTCTGCTAGAGGGAGCGATTAGCAGCATCACTCTCCCGGGTGTCCGTGTGGACAAAACCCTGCAACTGGCAGGCGCTGTTCCTTTTCTGGGCCGGGCAGGAAGGAGAGTCTTAACAGGGAGGGATTCGGAGAGGGCGGCTCACTCTCCTGCGCCCGAGCGCGACTCCCTGCCATGTGGGGCTAACAGAGAAGCGGCTGGGCATGCCTTAAGCTTCCCAGTTTCGCCTGTGAAAGTAGGAATCAGCGTCACTGGCTGTCTGGTGACGGAGGAGGTCCGTTTGTCTCAGTGTCCAGCAAAGCGGGGAAAATGTTTGTTCAGAGTCCTTTAGGGGAAAAAGAGGCTGGCGCTTACTTGAACGCAGGCCTGACAGTACAGAGTGTTAGCATACGGAAATGCTGGTTTGATAACAGGCACAGAATGTGGGTGGTGTTATAGCTCTCAGCCATGTCGGCCATCTTATGACCCCTTGGGCTTCCTCGAGTTATACAGCCCCAGAGCTTCTTGGGGGAAACGGCTCCAGCCCTTTTCCTGATGTTTCTTCCCAGTCCCACAATATAATTTTAAACGTCGTAAATTAAAACCCCCAAGGAAGGACCCTGGTGGATCAGACCAAAGGCCTAAATAATCCAGAATACGTTTTGAGTCCAGTCCGGCTGGGGTGTGTGTGTTTCTGTGTGGGAAGAATGTGCACGGAGGAGTAGCCACACAGCATTCTTTCCCCTCCTGCGGCCGACTTTTTAGTTTTGACATCCGTGCAAGCCTGGGCATTCTAAGGAGATCCAGAGATTGCATAAAGCAAATGTGATTCTAGCCGTTGTCTTGGTCCGTGTCTCCTACAAGCCAGCCACTCCGGCGATGAGGGGGAAATGAACTCCTAAAAAAACAACCTTGGCTAATCTCTGATGCCGCCTGCGCTCAGGGTCAAAGGGAAGCCCGCCAGAGAGATGTGAGGGCCCCGCAGCCACCCTGCTTTCCTTCCTCTGCAACTTGATGTACACATTCTGCTCTCCTTCATGCGCTCCCTGTCACATTTGTGTCATGTTTGGGTTTGGAGTTGTTTTGGGTTTTTTTTTCTTTTAAACTCATTGCAAAAGGGAAGCTGGAAAAGAGGTACCTGTGTTCCCATCACGGTCTTGATGCCGGCAAGCTGGTAGCCATCTAGGAAGACAGGGACCCAAATCTGCAGCTGAAGCTGGGCGCCAAATCGGTTTTTCCCATTGATCTGTCAGAGATAAAACAGGGGAGTAAGTACGGGTATGTGTGTATCCAAAAAGGGGAAGAACGGGGTGGAAGGATGGCCGGGTGGCCTTCTACATACGTGAAATGTGAGGTGGGTGTCCTGGGAGAGCCCATCGCGGGCACTTACGTATATGACAGGAAGGGCACTGCAAGCGAACAGAGGAAAGTTGAGTGGCAGCGTGATCTTTGCGACACAAAGCACGTGTCGGCAGATTTGGGACACATGAGAAATTGTCGTAGACGCTCCCAATCCCAGCAGGTGTTTAGGGAGAGGGAGCGTGGTCTAGTGGTTAAAAGAATCATGCTGGATTTCGGGAAGAAGTTAGAAGTCGGTGGTTGGTTGGCTTTGGGCTTGTCACTTCCTCTCGTCCCTCCCTCCCTGCCTGGCCTACTTCCCAGGGTTGTTGTTGGGAGAAGGAGAGGAAAAGCTTTGTGATGCCATATAAAGCAACACAGGAGGAGACACAGGACTCTCGGCTCCTGCTGAGCCAGAAGAAGAGGGCCGCCTCCTCTTGAGCAGAGGCGACCGCCTGTTGCCAGAACTGGGGGAAAGGTTGGCTCAAATTTTTTGCATTCCTTCCTTCTGCGATAGGAAGATCGCCAAGGCAAGCAAGCAAACTTATATGGGGCCAGGCAGAGCCGAGAGAGAGAATGGAAATGAAGATTTCTAGAGCGGGCAGGAGGGGGGGGGATCCAGAGTGTTGGCCAAGGCAAGCAAGCAAACTTATATGGGGGCAGGCAGAGCCGAGAGACAGAGAGAGAGAGAGAGAGAGAATGGAAATGAAGAATTCTAGAGCGGGCAGGAGGGGGGGGCGGGGATCCAGTGTGTTATTGCTGTGTCTCAGTGGATAGAGGACTCCTAATCTCAGTTTGCAAGAACATAGATTGGTCTCTTTCCTTGAAATACCTCCCCATCCCCCAACCCACACCTCATGGGGTTGCCTTGGGTGGCAGAGGCGTGTTTGGGCTACCTCTCAAGGCTGCTGACCTGCTGAGGGTGTAGCTCAAGGTGTATTTCACACGCAGGATGCGTTCCTCTTTCAGGACGGGGCTGTTCCTGTTGGCGCTTCGGGAGCAAAGAGGGAAAAATCAGCGAGGCTGCTAACCTTTTGGCAGCCCTGTACCTGCCCCCGCCCCGAGGCAGCCCCCCCCTCAACGGAGAGGCAGCTCCCGTCCTCTTTGAACACTGACCACCCTGGCTAAGAACAGCGGGAGTTGTGGTCCTGTGGGTTTAGAGAAAGGGGCCACACCGTATTTGTATCGCCTGCTTTGCTGGCCGAGAAGGGTTGACTGTCGGGGCACTTTAAGTGCCTGCCCTGATCAAATAGCGCCCGTCTGCCCATGGCCCGTGTCCATGGTGTTACCCCAATCGATGCAAGTGAAGGAGGGCTGGGTGAGGCTTTGCAACGCAGGCGGCAGGAGAGGCGTCGGCGGAGTGCTGTGACTCCGTCTCTTCCCAAAATGATCTGGCAAAATGAGGTTGCAGGCCAGCATTCCCTGTCAACGGTCGCGCCCACCACCGGCACCCCTTAACCTGTCCACAAAACGCTGTCTTTCTAGCTCATGTGGATTGATTGTGCAAGCCACTTGCCTCTGAGTAGCTAATAAAAGGATTTGCTTTCTAACCTCTGGACTGGCCGAGGAAGATTAAGGCAGGCATCTCTTCTTCCTCTGGGAGGAGTCCAGGAGACGAGGTCCCAAAAACTGAACCCATAGATGTTTGTCTTAAAACCCTCACCCGCCAGGACACAAGAGTAGAACCGAGTGGAGAGGAACAAATACGAAGGGGATCGAAGCTCGACTCTCTGGTTCTTAGGGTTGCGAGACTTAATAGAATGACTCTTCTAGCCTGTTGGTGGTTCACAAAAGGGGTGGCTTTCCTCTATCGGGATTGGTCGGTAGAGCTGTAACAGGGGACCGACAAAGGACTTACGCGGTGATGGTCAGGGTGATGTTTGCCAAATTGTTGGGGAATTTCTTCCCATCAAGCTGCCAGATCACTGAAAAATTGGCCTGCGGTAGAGCCGACAAATGGAAATATTAGAAAAAGAAAGACGCCTCTGCATGATAAGAGAGAACACCATCATCCTCTTAGAACTAAAGGATCATCAAGTCCAGGCCCTGACAAGGAGGCACGAGTGCAGATTTGAGCTCCCATCATGCTGGGTCTCTATTTACTTTTCCACTTCAAAGCACTTGAGAGAAAGATTCGAAGCACTGGGACGTCTTTCGAACATCCTGTGATGTCCTGCAGCCGCCCGGACAGTGGAG